TGATGAATCTGAAGTTGCAAGGCATCATCTTACATTTGGCAATGGGCAGCAGCCATATTCTCCAGATGACAGTCTACAACATGTGTTACCATCAGGACAATGGTGTGTACCATCATCACATATCACACCCTTGGATTCAACTGGTCGAGCTTCAGTTTTAGTGAACCATTGTATAACACTGTTGCCACGGTAACATTCTCCTGTACCTGCATTACAGCTATATTCCGAGGGACAACAGTGGACTCCATCAGAGCAACAAACAGCCTGAAGACAACAAAACTACATGTATATGTTAGGGAATGATAATGAGAAGGCATTGAGAATCAAAGAGCAACAATTTCAAAAATTATTTCTTAATGATAATATGATACTCTTCCATGATGAATCTGAAGTTGCAAGGCATCAGCTTACATTTGGCAATGGGCAGCAGCCATATTGTCCAGATGACAGTCTACAACATGTGTTACCATCAGGACAATGGTGTGTACCATCATCACATATCACACCCTTGGATTCAACTGGTCGAGCTTCAGTTTTAGTGAACCATTGTATAACACTGTTGCCACGGTAACATTCTCCTGTACCTGAATTACAGCTATATCCCGAGGGACAACAGTGGACTCCATCAGAGCAACAAACAGCCTGAAAATAAAAAAACTACATCTACATGTTAGGGAATGATAATGAGAAGGCATTGTGAATCAAAGAGCAACAATTTCAAAAAATTATTTCCTTAACTATCATATGATACTCCTCCATGATGAATCTGAAGTTGCAAGGCATCATCTTACATTTGGCAATGGGCAGCAGCCATATTGTCCAGATGACAGTCTACAACATGTGTTACCATCAGGACAATGGTGTGTACCATCATCACATATCACACCCTTGGATTCAACTGGCCGAGCTTCAATTTTAGTGAACCACTGTGTAAAACTGTTGCCACGGTAACATTCTCCTGTACCTGCATTACAGCTATATCCCGAGGGACAACAGTGGACTCCATCAGAGCAACAAACAGCCTGAAAAAACTATATCTATATTGTAGGGAATGATAATGAGAAGGCTTTGAGAATCGAAGAGCAACAATTTCAAAAAATTATTTCTTAATGATAATATGATACTCTTCCATGATGAATCTGAAGTTGCAAGGCATCAGCTTACATTTGGCAATGGGCAGCAGCCATATTGTCCAGATGACAGTCTACAACATGTGTTACCACTTAGACATTGGGATGTACCATCACCACATATGACATCCTTGGATTCTATTGAATCAGCTAACATCACAGTAACCTCATTATGAACTCGTTCAGAAACCCTTTGAACAGGTTTAAAGAAGAGTTGCTCCGCCATGGATGTAACAACCAGGCTTGTTACTAATAGCAACAACAATCTCATAGCTGATGATACTGTAAGAAATGAATAGAATAAGTTGTATTATATTATCGGGTGTGAGATGAAGTGAGATGTTGTTTGACAAGCATTAATTCAGCAATGGGTGGACGAATTTTTTTTTAAAGTTTAGGATTTACCAACATGTCTGCAAAATATATAGACAAATTATTCTTTTATTGTAAAATTAAAACAGTTTGTCTGAATATCCTATATCAATGAAAAAGCCACTTATTTCAGTCTACACGAAGCCATTTTCCAAGCACATTTTCAACTCCTATTTCATTAAAATCTTTGACTCCAACACACATACATTTCATTTTTGACTTGTTAAGATCAGACTTTTAATCATTAGCCCTGGGCCTCATACAGTCATATAAAGTTTAAATCAATTTAGGTTATTATCTAACATATTATAGTTCTACCCAATGTTATCAAAATGTGCTATGTGAAACTTTTCAATTGAATTTCAAAAAATTGATTTTGAAAGACTTTTGTTCAAAAATTGCGAATTTATTTCAAACAAAAATTTAATTGTCACGCACGTTTGTGAAGTAATAGAGAGTTTAAGCTTGCGAAATTTTTCACAACGTAACCATGAACGCAAAGCCAGTGAATCAATTCAGTAATGTTTATAGCGCGCATTCAAAACAAGCGCTACTTAGCCTACTTCAGATACTTGATCACTTTCAGAGCTGTGTTTAGAACGGGAGATTCGCAATTTCACGTTGATGGCAACGGGAATCATTATACTCATGTCTTCTGAATACTATGCTGGCAATTTTGATTACGATGCATAGTACAGGGTGGGCCAAAAAACGTTTTTTTTTCAAGACACTATAACTTTTTTATTTTCCAACCTATATACCCCAAATTTTGCAGTTATATAGTGCCAGGGGTTCTTAGTAATAATATGATGTTACAAGCCCTTCAACTTGAATTATACTTGATCTAAGAGAGGAGTTCAATTGGTCCGCCACCCTCTTCGATGATAGATTTTAGTCTTAGTTGCCTTGCTGATATAGCAGTATCGGTGGAATGTTGGCTAAGTTTCTTTCAACCTGTCTTAATTGCCAGCTTGAGTTGGGCATTTTTTAGATTGGGTGCCTTCATACCATCTCCTGGAGACCTTCCCATACCCTATACTCACTGGCGATTGCATTAGGACTATTAGCTTGGCTGTTATCAGGCCGTATCAGTTCAGGAACATTTTGCAAATTATGTGTATTTCTCATGGCACACCACATGTTTAAGTGAGACGCTGGTGACATATTTCATTCAAGTAAAAGAGTACAATTCATAATCCATGGCTAAATAGCATCCTCAAGTTTCATTTGGTATGCAAATTATGATTTTTTATCAAAAATTAAAAAAGTTATAGCATTTTGAAAAAAAGTGGCGTTTTTTGGCCCACCCTGTATAATGCTTTCTGAAGAAAATGATGTATGTCATCAAATTCTCGATTATTGATTATTGTTGAATCCAATGGTACATAGATATACTGAAACATGGTAAAAACTCATTTTCAACCTAGATAGGCTAACAATATTGCTTCATTTTGAAAGTTTACCATGTTCAAAAATATTTGTACAAGAAAAGAATATTAAAAAATATTTTGCCACCTGAGTGACAACACAGCCCATCATCGTGCACATCAAAAAATACTTTTGAAGTTTATACGCTATATGCATAGATTGAATGGTTGAAAAATATGGTCTATTCAATGGAGTAGACAATATAATATGTTTCACAGTGTTAAGTATTGTATTTGATGATAAAAAATCGAAGCTTTTGTTTCTAAAATGGTGGGAAATTCGAATATAATGAAAACTTTAAGATCAAAACAACTGCTTCTAAAAGTTGTATGTTTCAAAAATATCTCAAATAAATGCCATTCGACAATGCAACAATCTTGAATTCCGATTGCTACATTGTATTTTTCTGAAAGCAAATAGTTTGCGGGATTTTTTTTTTTTCAGTTAGACGTAATATTCGTAGTATGAAATACTAATTCGAACATGACTGTATTCACGCCTTCTACAAACTGTGAACAAAGTCAATATTTCACCAGGTATTTCGATATAATACCTGCTCTTCGGTCTATATTTCTTACTAAAAATACTTATTTTTCATTTTTAAAATTATAAATTTGTGAGAGTTATGAACATTTTCGGGAAATTAGTTTGCTGTAGTTAGAACGGTCTTGTAGTATAGAGCCATAAATTATAATCCCGCGCTATACTTACTGTTAAAGGCATTAGAAAACAATATCTACCACAAAATTTTTGTAAAAACATTAGTACTTTTAAATATGCCAAGTGTTACAATCTGATAGTAAAGTATTGTTAGCATAATGTATGTATTGTAAATATGTTTGTTTTGAAATACTTAATTGTTATATACTTATTTACTGTATGTACTTTTGCCTAATACCCTTTATTTGGGTGATGGTATAATAAATAAGATTGAAATTGAAATTGAAATTGTACTTACCTAGATGCATTTGGCGTCCAGTTATCTTTCAGGTTACCCTGCGTGCAGAGTCTAGTTAAACTACAGAAGACGAAGCTCTCTTTTAAGAAGAAGTGAAGTCAAACAAATGCAAAGGGTACTTTCAGGTTTCAATGAAAAATGACTCAATGCGGATAAATTAGGGTTGGTCAGTCGATGTAAAAGTCAAGTCGTCTGCAGGTTGAATACTAAATATGTTAATAAAATAACACGCACATTCCTTGATCTCATGATAGGGCAACATTCTATGCAGTCTATTCAAGTGTACAGGTGGAAAATTTAATTATTTCTTATTAATAACATGATATTGTCAATATTATTAATATGATGCATCTGCTTTCCGATTCCATGATCAAAAATATTTGCGCCAAATTACTTCATTTATCCTATTTCAACAATATTGCAGAATTAATTTCTGCATCTCAAGCAAAAATATTAGAAAAATATACTACCTTATTGAAAACGTTTTATTTAAATTTTGAAATAAAGGTAAATGTTTCCAAATGTACTCGAAAACATTTTTGGGTCTAAAAAAGAACTTGGGCCTAAAGATTTGCAGGGCCTTAATTAGTGGGTCATTTTTGGGCACTACTTGGCCTCTTAAGGCCTTTTATTTTTAAAAGGATTGGTATCGATATGGTGAACTAAGTTCAACAATATTTTTCTCTTAAACCAATTATTGAAAAATTCTGTAGAAAAACGTTTATGTAATGTTAACTTACTGACAACAATTTAATGCGAAAATAATTTATATAAATTTTATACTAGGGTTGTCCAAAGTTAAAAATCTTGACGTTTTACTTTTTCTTTCATTATCTCTGCAAACTGATAATGTTGTGGTGATTTTTTTTCATTGTATTACTTCGAATCAGAAATGCGCCACCAGTTTTTAAAATGTGTCCAAAATTTCCTCAAAACCGTGAAACTAGAATTCAAATCTAATGTTCATATAAAATCAGAAAGTGATTAGGTGCTCTACTTATGCCTGGGTCCCATTTGCTCCGACCCATCGGCCGGCGCCCGCCCGATTGAGTGTTTTGTTCAATATTGTATTCAATTTTGAACAAAATTGGAGCAAATATGACCGAGGCATTAGCTACAAGTTGCATTTGACGTCCAGATGATTAGGTTTCTTTCAGTTGTGTGAAAAACCTTTCATAAGATACGAACTCATAATAAAGCTGCCCCTATCCCCCTATATTTGTGCCACTTTATTACTATACTGATAATATATTCCATGCATAGAGCTAGAGTATCAATGATCTAAATCATGTAGGACAGTTCACACTACATAATTGATTTGAAATCATGTTCCCTGTTACTATTTTACTTTCTTTATTTCATTTTCTATAATTATTGTATAACATGTGCATGTAACTGTCTTATTCTAGACGCAAATAAATAATACATACAATACATACATATACGAGTCAATTCACATCCTGTTCAGGCTGAGCCAACAAAAACACTCGGTGTGGATAAATGAGCGCCCGGTGCGGACTAACCGTCATTTCTTTCAATTTGAATCGGTGAATCACCGCGTGTTGGGTTAGCCCATATTTTTGTATATAGACACGATGATATTTTTGTTATAGCTTTCTCCAATCTCAAAACATCTTGTTAGCTTTCTCTAATCACAAAACATCTTGTTCGGTACACATCAAATTGACATTTGGACAGTTTTTATATTGCCCTATCTTCTGGATACCATATCTCAGAAATCAATTACACATCAATATGCTTTCAAATGACACCAAGGTACCAGAGCGAGAAAACCAATGATTTTATTTGCAAGTTAGAACTAGAAAAACAGCAAATTCCCGGAGTCGCAATTCGTACCAAGCAAGGCATATATTTGTTGCAGAAATTGATGAAAATCAGATTCTTTCCATTTTTCTACTGGGTGTTACTTAGTGTTTCATTTTGTTACCAGAATAGACCGCCCTGGTAATCAGGTGGGAACTAATTTACAAGATAAATTGTATACCCACGCCCGGTGATCAGACAAAATGGATGGAGGGGGAGTAGGTGATTTCTGAAAGAAAATTCAACAAGTCTGGATTCAGGATTTATTGAGTGAAAGTTTACAATTGA